CATGCATGCATACATACGAGAGAGGGAGAGTGGGGAGAGAGAGGCTTGGGGGGATGGGGAGGATGGGAGCAGAGGGAGGGAGAGAGGACGACAGAACACACAAGGGAGACAAGGAAGAGAGGAAGAAGGAGAAAAGGGAGAGGACAATGTCGGCGGACTGAGCCGGAGGCTCTAAAGTATTAAATGTATTCTATATAATTAAATAAATATTATATCATAATCGCATTATTAACCGAATTATCATAATCCAATTAACTACAAAACCACATCACTAAACCACTCCTTATATATTCGAATTTCGTCAACAAAAAACAAAAAAAACTCAAAAAATCATTCTTTAAAAAACATCAAATAAACAAAAACTACAAACATCCTACATACCTACATATATATCAATAATTTACATTAAAACACCAAAATATAATATATAGTATATTATTTCAATAAAATTATCTATATAATAATATAATTAAAATATTGTAATTAAATAGATTTTATGAGGATTGATTTATTTGAGTATATAATTGTAATATTATTAATAAATTGGTTATATATTTAATTTAATATATTAATTATATGCTTTGTGAATTAGTATGGTTTTGGGGTTGTAATGATATGTTGATCGAATTATTTTGTTTGTTCTCAATCATATTTATTTCTTCATATGATCCAGATATCCTGCAATCATCTGGCACCAACCCTCGTGCCCTGTTCCACAAAAGTGTGTTTGACTTTTCCATGAGCGCCTGAGTCCATCAAAGCGGCATTTGTTGCTGAGCACAGCGAGGTGCAAAGACTTGTTGCAAATCAAGGGGCTCGCAATGGATATCGACTTCTTGGGAAATCCAGGCAGGTTCTGCAAATACGGAAACCCTTCCTATTGCTTTCCCCTCCAAACACAAATTGGACTCCCTATTTTGAAAAGAAAAACACCCCAGTGCTTGGTTGTCCTGTGTTGCAGGCACAGGAGTCATGTACGTTTCTCATTTTTTGAAAACAACCATTCCCAATGAAGCAACAAATGCGTCACAAATGCATATCGCTCCTGGACCTTCAAACTCCGGATTTGTTTTTGTGTTTTAGGAGAATTTACACGAGTTGCATAATTTTAGTGCGAATTTCAGCCGCGCATTGGCATAGGATACTTGCCAATGTGCCAGGGATTCTGATGGGAAGCATTGAAATTGAAAACCCCCAGTGTTTCGGATTTGTGGGAGGTCAACGGCAGAAACTACGTGCGTTTGTTTCAGGAGGACGAAGGTCCCGGCTGGTGGTTGGCCTTTTTGATCTTTGGATCCCTGGAAGGCCAAAAAGGAGACCAAGGCACGGCCGCGCAAGGGAGGGAGAGAAGGCAACATGATCTAGGTCCTCCAGTAGAGAGCTTCGATTAAGGGTACCCGCTTTTTTAAGGACGTCATGGTTAGTAGGGGAACCCTCCCTTCCCCAAAAAAGGGGTGAAAAAGAGCACCTAGCTGGGGGACCGACGGCCCAATCGCAACCTTGGCCGCTTTGTTTGACTCAGATCACTTGGCAAAACGGCCCCGGAAATCCAAAACCCCCACCCTTCGGTGCCTGGAAGCGCTGTTTTGCAGCGGGGTCCTGGCCGGGCTGCTCCCATGGTGCATTGATTCAGTAACTTGGTGGACGTTGGAACGGGAGCAAACATTTAAATGGGGTTGAAAATCCAACCACTTAACTGCTAGAATTTCTCAATTTTTGCTCCCCTTCCATCGTCAACCAAGTCACTGAATGAATTTCAGCAGTTAAGTGGTTGGATTTCAACCACTCAACCACAATAAGCAAAATGTAAAATGATTCCCAACAACAACCTATGGTGAAATGTGATGATTTTGTGGGTTCACCAGATGGCTGGGGCTCAAACACACGGACCTGTTTTCCCCATTCACCATTGAGAGCGAAATGGACACCGGTGTCCCCTCTTGTGCCCGTCTCCATGCGTCGAGCTCGCAAACCACCCCCCTATGAATGCCAAGTTCGTGAGGACAAGGCTAGGGGTGGGTTTAGCAGGGTGCCCTTGTATTGGCTTCGTCCTCCGGATTCATCCCAAGCAAACCCACAGCCGGAATCTGCGGCTTTTTCCCTTGGCCCACCATTTCTGTACCTTGGTTACTGCTCAAACAACCCAAAAAAGGGCTGCCCTCGGCAAACACGCCTTCTATTTGGTTAAGACCCCTGTCTTTTTTTAATCCACTGGTGATAGGTTGCCTTTAAAACCGACAGGGACAAATACAACATATTATTTAGCCAATGGAAGACGCTAAAACACACACAGGCAAGGACTATCAGCGTGAGCTGGTTGTCACCTCAGTGAGCTCCACGTTTGGCGAAACGTCTCAGCAGCCCGATTGGGCCTTCCGAACGTCGTGTCAGCCGCCCCTGGCACGCGGATTTGGCGCTGCAACGGCCGGGTAAGGTGGAAACGCTGTGACATGTGCCTCATGTCTCCAACTCCAACAGGGTTTGGCATGCATAGACGCTCACAAATATTCGCAAAGACAAACAAAAAGGACCTCCCGTTTCCCTTCAGGCAGTGCGAAGCTAGTGTGGGTGTGGGTGGGTGTCTGGGTGTGGGTGGGTGTCTAGGTGTGTTTGTGTGTTGTGTGTGGTGTGTATGTGTATATATGTATGTGTATATATATATTATAATATATATATATATATATATGTATATCCATGTGTGTGTGTGTGTGTCAGTGTATCGGTGTGTCTGTGTGTCTGTGTGTGTTGTGTTGTGTTGTCTTGTCGTGTGTTGTGTTGTCTTGAATGGTCTTGTGTTGTGTTGTGGTGTGTGTGTGTGTGCTCTGTGTGTTGTGTGCTGTGTGTTGTGTGCTGTGTGTTGTGTGCTGTGTGTTGTGTGCTGTGTGTTGTATGTGTGTGTGTGTGTCTTTTTCTCTGGTGGAAGTCTTGGAGGATGTCTCTGGGCCTATGGCGACTTTGCGTAATTTAGTCCCCTTGCAAGTGACTGGAAAGGGACGCGCAGGATGGCACGCTGTCTTGCCCTTCTTTTGGCCTGCAGGAGGTGCGGGCGGTGGACCTACTTAGTTGACGAGCTGGGCTCAGGCGCCACGACCGCCTGGACGTCTTTGAGCATGTGGCTTAGCTGCAGCTGACGGCTGCAGACGGGGTGGGGAGCAATCAAGTGGGGCGTGAGTTGCTGCACTTCTAGCTGGCATGCCCACTCCTACTCGGGCCGTTACGCAAACTGCGATTAAGTGGAGCAGGGTTGGCTTTGCACTAGTACGACATCAGGCTCAGCACCTTTTCACAGATGCGGCAATCAACCCACCAGCACCAGCACCACCTCTACTACCACCCCCATCGCCACCGCCACTGCCACCACTTGTTGAGTGACAGTCATGTTTTGCATGGTTGTCGGAGTGCGCCATGTGTGATTCACAGTGATTCTGCATGTGGTAGATTGCACGTTTGCCAATGCTTTCGCGAGGTGGCGCATGCTGTGGCCGTGTACTTGCAGACGCTCGCGAACGCAGCGAGCCGACCATCACTATCTTTCCCTGAGAGCTGAGCGCTTGACCGGGACCCTTCGCTATGCTATGCATTCGGGATTTTAAATGTAGAACCTTGATCTCAGTCACCGAGATTCAGAGAACGCTTGGCCGCGAGATGTTGCACCCTTCTGCAGCTCCTCGTCTCATATTCGTCAGTTTGCAGGCAGTGCAAGAAAAAGGCTTGCCAAATCTTGCATGGAAACCGTAACGATGCAACGATGATTGATTTTGCTGTACATATTCGCAGTTTCAATGGTAATGGCTCAGATCAAAATGACATATCAAATAATGCGATGCATCTGCAGCAACATGCTGCGAGAGTTTTCCTGTAAACAACCCTTGACAGCCACGCTACAGCGTACTTTCTCATTTTCGCCTGTACCCGTTTAAGCTACAAGGTCCATCCAGCCGCACTGAGACCAACCCCAAATGGATAATTATCTAGAACCCGAGGTAAATCTGAGACATGTCGATCCCCCCTCCCCCACAAATATTGCAAATATGGAACTTGCCGAAAAACATTGCGGGTTTAACTGGCATTGATCCACCGTAATTGTGTGAGTGTGTGTCCAAGGAAAGCCAAAAGAACGCCAACAATTTCGTATGTTTCCTGGTTTGCTTGAAAGGGACATGGCCGTGCCTGGAAACTATCCGTTTGGGCAAAAGGAAATCACAAGACATGGGCGAACCATGAATCGAGTGTCTGTTTTGACCCTTTTTCAGGTTGGTTTCAAGGGAACCCCAAAGGAACATCCGCCAGTCGGGGGGTCAAATCCATAATTCTGACACAGACCCTGACCTTAACTATCTCTCCCACCCGGCAAACCACCTGCAGCGCCGTCCCCCAGGTCTTGACTCATGTCACCTAGCAAATGCTTGTTCCGTCTCGGAAGAAATGGAGACCTCGGACTTAGGACGTGATTCCTTCCTATGTCTCCTTCAGTTCGGGATTCTCCCTCGGCTTCCCCAGAGAGTGTCAAGTACCCCTTCTATGCTGTGGAGTGGGGGCTGATTTGGAAGCCCCGGCTGTGTCTCTTGCGTGGCCACCTAACAACCAACCCAACACCCAAACAAATGAAGTAAAGCTGACTGTCAGCATGACCCCACCCAATCACTTTGAATCGGCTTCTCCAAAGAGTAATTTTTACCAGAAGCAGGAGTCCCTTTGCGTTAGCAACGAGAAGCAAACACCACAGAGGTGCTGGCAATGTCGACCGCGGATTGACAAAGCTTGAACATATTGATGATCAAATTCAACCAGAGGTCTATTAGTCCTAGATTCGCGTTAGGCAGAAAGGTCCAACCAAACCTCATTTCAGCTTACGCGGAACATGATCTACGAGGGAAGCGGGAAACGACCTGAGTTCTGAAAGAACACATATTTGAAAAGATGGGCAGGTGAGGCATGAGTCGTGAAGCAGTTTTTGCTAGTAGGGACTTCAACAAATTGCCACTCTTCAATATGCATACTGCCACTCTTCAGTACATCTGATTCTGCTCGCAATGGCTTTGCAAGCATAGTGCTACATGCACTTCATGTACTTTGCACATGCTCATTGACGTATTCCAAGCCTTTCAACTGTCTTCGCATCAACATGGAAAATACGGATTGATGGTTTTGAGAGGTAGCAGAAGAAACAAACCAATTCAGGGCTATATGAGGCTCTCTCAAAAAGTATTTCAAACTGCAAAGGACATTCTAATTTAGAGAGTCCATATGGTTGCCCTCACTCATTTGTACCGGGGGTACCCATCTTCCTTTGCAGGTCGCTGTCTGGGGGTTGCACACACATACAGGATTTTTTTGTGGCTGGAAAACGGAGTTGAATTGGGGTCTCGGCCTCAACAGAAGTGCCTTTTTGAAGTACCGTTCGAGAAGTTCTCAAAGCCCCAAGTTGGCCCACGGATCAAAAACCGGGGCAGCAGCCAACTAGTTCGGACTGCAGGCCTGGGGGGGTCATGCTTGATCTTCAAAAGATTGGAACCCATCAATTCGGTGGAATCCATGAGCCAGCCCCTTTCTTTTTCCGTGGGTGCAATCAATTGGAACATCATGGCACCGACGCCATCCACTGAAAGCCATTCCCTTTCGGCACCCCACCTGGACAGGTAGCGTCGCTGGAGAGACGTCTCCACGGAGAACCTGTGGGATGGCCCTTGGGCACTGGGTCGCTCTCTGCCCCGTGAGCAAAACGTCTAACCTTTATAGGTTTGATCCAAAAGCCCTTTGTGTTTCAAAGGTCGAGGGGCGATTCGGTCACAAGGCCAGCAGAGGTTTTGGGAATTCACCTGAAGACTTACTTGGAGAAACTGAAGGGATGTTCCAGTTTGAGTTGTCATTCCCTTCCCGAAGCAGCAAAGAAACCCGCCGGGATGGGGGAGTGCCAGTTCCTAGGTGCAAGCTCTTGGATAAGGTGAAACTATGGGTAGAGCGGTACAACTTTGATTCAGCCTGTTGCACTCCGCCACCACAAACTGTTTTCAGACAGAAACAAACTACACGTTTTATTCTAACATATTCTACCCCACATATAGATTTCCCTTGCAAACATTTTCTGCCACGGACGTTCTGGTCGACCTGTTCTCCAGGCAGCATGCTGGACCATCTGTCGGCAGGTCCGACTAGTAAGAATGGAGGCCCTAACGTACAGCTATTACGTCAGTGGACTCTCTCAATGAAGGTCTCTGTTGGATGCTCCCTTTGAAAAGATCCGCCCTACCTTCAGCCCTTCAATTGGTATCGAAACTCATCTGGCAACACAACACAACTGGGGGTCATACCAGGGGGTCATGTACTCAGGCTTCCAAACATTCCGCTGCTTGAACCGGTCCTTTGTAACGCGGCAAGCAATCCACAAACGAGAACATGGAACCATCAATGGACTTCCAAGAATTTACATCGGCTCACAAACAAAGACTCACGAAATCACTTTCATAGAATTTATACGAATATATCTGAGATATATTCACTATAAAGAAATATATACATACACATATCATGGGACCTCAAATTGAACTTGGGTTAAAACCCCCGGCCGAACACCGCCTCTCGCTCACTTCGCGCCTTGCGCCTCGTCCTCCTCAGGCCTGGACGGAGCGTACCAGGCACTTCATGGCTGCTTTTGCTTTTTGATCTGGCTGTGGGTCAAAAATAGCTAGCCAAAATGGATCCCTGGCAAATGGACACATGGACTAAAACCTGGTTTAATTTTGACCCTTACCCATCTGGCGGCAAAGGTGTTTGACTTCGTGTTGAGTGTGAGCACACGCACAGTTTCTCCCAAAAAGGTCGAAAGCCAACTTCTTGTTGAGTGGGAAGAGCCAGATGTTCCCAAACAGCTGAAGGAAATTGGTCAAAGATCCAACCTGCTGCTCCAGTTTTTTGGGGAGACAAGGAGGCCTTCCAAGTCCTGAGAGGCCCTTCAAGCTGTGGGGCATGGGAAAAAGCACGAGTCCCCGCGCGTCAAAAAACATTGGTGCGTCCCGTCCCTCCCGTCCCTCCCGTCCCTCCCGTCCCTCCTGTCCCTCCCGTCCCTCCCGTCCCTCCCGTCCCTCCCGTCCCTCCCGTCCCTCCCGTCCCTCCCGTCCCTCCCGTCCCTCCCGTCCCTCCCGTCCCTCCCGTCCCTCCCGTCCAGTCCACCAGAAAGCAACCCGTGTTAAGGTGCCACCCACATGTTTCACGGCATCCAAGAGCAACCCATGGGGTTGAAGGATGCACCGGCATGTGTTCAAAGGCCAGTGCCGGTGACTTAGGGGCAACGCGAAGACTCAGCCCGAAGCTTCCGTCCGCACTGGTCTTGCGAGGTATGAGGTATGAAGAACTGCCCGTCAGGCTCTGGATTGCTCGACATGGAAAGCAAGTAAACCGACCAACACCCGGGTTAGCCTTTCACTTGCTTAAGGCCCCTTGACAACCACAAGCAAGAAGCCAACTTTGGCAAACGGAACTAGATTGCATGGTGTTCAGCGGGGTTCCCCACTTGCGACAATGTGTGTACAATGGCTGAACCGAATACCTTGACACACACACACACAGAGAGAAGGGGCCTGATTCACCGTCCACTGACATGCAGGCACTCAGTCTTTGTGTAGCTGAGGGAAGAGCGTAGAAACCATTCTGCGCGGGGAAAGCCACTCCTCGTTGGAAACCAACCAGCAGATCAAGCTTGCGGGGACCTCACGAGGCCAGCACCATTCCTCAGCCAGACAAACATTTGGAGAAGTCTGGAATCAAAAATATGGCGCAGTGCAAAGGTGTCCCCACTCGTGCAATCTTGCTGTTCCACATATCAATACCCACTATTGCCACCAAGAACCGGAAGGGGGTGCAAAGCCGATACACATCCTGCGAAAACAATCAGGGCCATCCACAACTGATACTTGCCCCCTCCACAATAAGAAAAGTGTTTTGTGGGTCAGTGGGCCACACGCACACATGTCCGCAGAAGTTAAAGGTTACACATCCAACCAAAACCAAATAGCGGCCAAGAACACCCTGTTCATATGTAGTCTTGCTCACGCGTTTCCTCCGCCTGATGGCTGAATGAGGCACCTTCTAGAGCAGAATAGAGCTAGCAGCTCTTTTCAGCGATAGCTGGTGCAAACTAGGGCAGTTGGACGGTGGAAACAATGTTGACCCCTCCCTGTCAATACCAAGTCTTCTTCACAACCCACGTACTGCATCTTGATATTGTTAACTAGGGGGTCTGAAAAAAAGGCTGCATCCATCCAAGCTGATTTCCTCAAAGTAAAACGCATCGCCTTTTCAAAACGCATGATAACCGGACCACCTGACCAACAAGCATTGATGCATCTGTGCACAACCTGTATGTGCTCCAACCCCGAAAACCAGTCCAGAAAGAAATGGGATGTCGTGCCCGCGCGATGCTAAGGGCCGTGTTTCCAAACACGGAAATTCATCTAAGGACTCACTTCTGGTGACTAGGGGTACCTTCTGACCCACTGACAGCAAGTTTGCTGTCGTTCACAAACCCCCACTGGCTATGAGAAGACGAAGGCTCCCTGTTATGGCTAATTGGTTTTAAAGCGGAACCACTGGGTGTCCGGCGTTTTACTTGCTGGTGCTCAGGGAATGAGGGAATGGCTTCCTTTGAGGGAATCCATTCCCACATTCCCGACTGAGCGCCAGCAAGTTGAAAGCTAAATGGGTATCGGTCAAAATAAAACCACCAGGATATGAACTGCAGGTTTTAGTCCTTCTTTCCATTTACCAGAGCAAGCCATTTGGGGTACCTATCTTTGACCCACAGCCAAATGTCTTCCACCCGTCACGACTCACGGCTGCGCCTGATGATCGGGCTACAGGTCGCCTCTGACTCGCGCCCGTCCTGGAGCAGTCAAGAGGAGGCCCTCCGTTTGCGGTTCTGGCTAGAGGGGTGACCTACTGTGGATGGATGAAATCCAATTCGCAGCACTTTGAAACCAGGGGAATCATCATTCCAGGGTTTTCTAGGTGGTGCAGGATTTTGTCCACTGTAGGTTGCCCAGTGGCCATGGAAAAAAAGACACTCTGTTTTGGGCAGTTGATTTTAGAGGGACACCCCTCAAATAAACTAAAACAACACACCACTCGAGGCCTGGCGAGAGAAGATGCCACGGCCACGGGCCCCAGATTGCGCTATATACCTTGACCCTTCCCCAAGTGGGGCTGAACCCTGCTGCAAGCAGGTTTAGGCGCAATCACACACTCCTAAGTACTCCTAAGTTCAAACTAGAAGTCCACTCTGTACATGATTCACCCATAAGTTACACGAGTCAACCCTTCTGTAAGCTTGCTTGGGTGAAAAGAAAAGAATCCACCTTGAAGGAAACATGAATCCACCTTGAAGGACAACACGGAAAACTGCAAGTAAATTAATATTCAGGTGACTGACAACTTTCCAATTTGACCCAAGTAGGACGATTGGGTAGTGTGCGTAGATGGTGCGGGGCTTTACTGGGTCGCCCCATGCACAAGTCAACGGAATACGCAACTGGTGGTCTGGGTCATGCGGGGAGGTCTCTGGAATATCTTGTCTATTTCCTAGCGGATTTCCTGAGGGAAAACCAGCAGTCTGCTGATTTGCGCCCAGTACTCAGTGTAGCTCTGTGTTCCCAGAATATGTTTGAAACCGTTAGACAAAAGGCGAAGAAAGCAAAGGGCCGCCAAGGACACATGAAACTGGCCAATATGGGCGTCTCTGTTCTTGAGGGGACCCTGTGCCGGCTTGTCTTTACGGGAAACCAAAAGGAAAACAACTGCCTCTCTTTTTGTTTGCGGTGGGTGCACCATTTTGACAATCCCGCAGCCACAGAGCACAACGCTCACTTCGGTCATACCACCGGAAAGCCTTTCCAAAGACTTCGCCACTCGAAGGCTTATGTAAAGGAAGACTTCCTGGTGCTAGCATCACAGAAGCGGAACCACCCCCCATTCCCACAACCCTTTCCCGAAACCTGAATTTTTGGGTAGACAATCAGCAGAAAAAAACACACACAAATGGAAGTAGTGGAAGCAAACTAGTTCCTTAAACTTGCACTTTGGTAATCTTTGGCTCGGAGCAACTCGACTACTTCGTCTAAAGAAGGATTCAAGGGTACAAACACAATTTCCCAAAACCATGCAACTGAGTCCTTTCCTCAAAAGGAGATCCTGTTGAGGGTTCCACCGGCCAAAGCGGTAGCTCCTCAGCACCCGGCTCGCCTCAAGAAAGGTCGCAGGATCTTCGTCCATTGGACTGGCTTTTGATAAACTGATGCCTGTTTTGTTGCTGGCTTGTGACTGGCTTTTGTGATGGTTTTTGATCAAATGATGGCTGTTGTTGATTTTGATGGCTGTGGCTTTGATTGTTCCTTCGAAGGGATGCCAGTCCCCTTTTGGTTTCTCTTTGGGTAAACTACACAATTGTGGCCTATTGAGCACCCGGTTTTAGGAACGGAATTGGGAAGATGAACCCACTTTTTTTGTTCCAATTCCGAGTTCCAAGGTGACCGTTCAAAAAAGATTCTCATGTAGCGCATTCAGTCAGATGTTCTCTTAATGTCATTACATTTTATTTTTCTGTGGATGGTTCGATCTCCCAAATGGAATGAGAGACACAGTTGAAAATGGGGCATGTTTGATGGGCGACACGTAATTGCCAATTGGAGGGAGAAACGTGAGAATTGTCCACACTTCCATCCAAGAAAAAAAAACACATGTCGCCTTCCAAAAGAGGGTCGGGCACTTCCATGGGCAGTTTAGGTACCTTTTACAACACCCGTAGTAGCGCGTACCAACACAACTGGCGCCAGCGACTCGTTCACCGCCTGTTTTTTCCCCACGCATCTCGTTGAGCCGCTTGCCAAGCCGGAACATTGCGAGGGCATGTGCCACTCCAAGCCCAGTGACGGTAGGTAAGCCCCAAACACGGATTTACCTGGAGTCTCCATGACCCTAACAAAAATGGGGTCATTACCCAAAATACTGGGGTCATTGACTCAGTTTTTAAGGGTCATGGAGACTCCAGCTGGAGAGTCGAACCAGCTGAACTGGGAAAGCAGCGGCAAAGGGACCCATTTGGAGTTCTCCTCCGGCATCAAAAGCCGGAGCGAATCTCCAAAAGGCCAACCTGAGACTCGTGCCAATGAAACCGGCACGAAGAACGAGTGATGACAAACCACCACATCGTCCTGCTGCCAACAAAAGGATCTCGCGGATTGCCTGAAAACGGAACAATCAAATTTAAATCACACTGTTCAAGGGGCCCATTCCTTTTTCAAGCTGGTCCAAAACAGCCAACTGGCCCAGGTTCGAACTTTTGCTTCTGTTGCTTTGGAGTAAATCCCCGAGTTGTCTTGCCAACAGTCCGCAACGCCGGGCCCTGCGTCACAAGCGCGAGCTTTTGCGAAACTTCTGGATGTACTCGCGGCCCACCTCCTGGCACTCCTCGTAATGGGGCTGCTTGACTTGAAGGACCTGCCTGGTATCACACATAAGGAGAGGAATGAGGTGTTTGGCAGAAACCAACCAAAACAAATAAACCAAAGCACACAGAAAAACAACAAAAACAACAAATCTCGGTTGCGAAACCTGCTCCCCTGCTAAAAGTGCTTAGCTGTTAGTGGTTTAATGCGGAAAACCCATTAGCTGGCAAAACAAAAAACTCCTAACATCCAAGCAAAATGCACCAACGAATAAGGAGAGGAATGAGGCCCCCCCACCCCCGGACCAAAGGCTCTCAGAAGGCTTCTCGGCACCTGCTGCACGTGGGAATAAATCTCCTCTCAACCAAAAACCAAGTAGCCCGCGCCCCACTGCAGCGAAGCCAAAAAAATGACGACCTCCCAGTTGCCCCAAACCCTGGTAAATAAAAAGGGGGTTGATCAGATTTGCGGGGAGCCCAACAAACAGAAAGAGATTGAACGAAAATCCACTAAAGTGGGACCTGCCAGGAGAGATGGCGCCAGGACCCCGGACCTGTCGGAAACTCCGGCTTTCCAGTGCCCCGGGCGCCTTTCGAAAATGACATTCTCATGACTAGAGTTAGGCCCAGTTATAGAATGCGTATTTTATTGTTTGCTTCACTTTGAGTCACTGGTAAAATGTAAAATGTATCCTAAGTCTACCCCAGTTCTTGCCAGGGGCCTTTCAATAGTCGTGCCACGGCGTTTCGAAAGCTGCTGTGTGACACCGAAACAGACTAACGAACCATGGTGCCCCGTGGATCAGGAAACCCTGGCAGCTGGTAGGCGGCGTTCAGGAAAAGGACGTGTACACCCAGTCAAGATGTGGTTTAGGCTATGTGAACCTGTACTCAGGGAGGTTTGGATGGACCTCATTTAGCTTACCTTTTCACCAGAAACCTGGGCCGAACGGAACATTGATCAACCCACATATCTTACCTGTTGAATTGGTTATTAACTCGCTGGACCGCTTGGCGCACATCATTTCCATGGTTTATGATGCCCAAACAACATGTTTGAGAGTGTTCCCCAGGATAAAGCTCAGCGCCAGCCTTATGAGGTCCGGTCGAAATTGAATGTAGCCCGTTGGCCAACTTGGGAGGCAGGGGGACTCTCTACCTTCTATGTCCGTTGCGGGTAAGGTGAGCTCGGGGGGGGGGTATTTTGCATGGGGTCGCGGTTGGGGATGCATGGTTTTGTGAGCAAGAAAAACTCAGGGTTGAACCCTCAAAATGACGGTGCTCTTTTTGGTTTCCCCAGAAATCAACCAAAAGGGGGTTCCCTAACACAACCAAGACCATATGGCAAGCTGTCCATGCTTTTGGTTTGCATTGTCGCAGCGTACCGGGACTGGACCCCTGCAATGTATCCCTGGCAATCCGGAAAAGTCCTACTGGGAACTGCGTGGCACGGTCTCTTATTTGCGAGTACCGTTTTTGGGGAGGTTTAAACTGCAACCAAAGGGAAAGCCGAGGGGTATACCATGAAGGGTACTGTGTCCGGGGTGGACCGAAGGTTCTCCGATGCAGTTGGTTGGTTCGTGCGGCTTTCATAAAGTTGGGAACTGACCACTCTTTTGGACGGTGCTCAAGGGGCGACCAAAAAAAAACCATGTGAGGGGATCTAATTCCCATTTGAGGGAAAACACACTTACCCCACTGGTCTGTGGCTCAACTGACTTTCGCCCCGGGTCAGAGTTTTCAACGAGGGCCTACTGACTTCTCCCCTTTCGAGGTTAACCATCACATATTTGTGGTGGGTCTCCAACCAATGGTCATCCCATGTTTCTCGTTTGCGAAACCTGCTCCCCTGCTAAAAGGTTGTTTTCTTTTGGTGGTTTCATCGAAAACCCATGCGTTGGCAAAAAACAAGTCCTAACGTTTCCTTTGGCAAAATGCCTTTTGATCAACGTGAAAAAGTTCCACCCAACTTCTCCTTGTCCGAGGCCATGTACACCTGCGCCAGATCTTCCTCGGCTTAGCGCGTGGTCCTTTGGACCCAAAGCTGATGCTTTTGGGCCCCAGATCCAGGAGGGCTCAAAACCAATGGGATCCCATTTTGGGACAGGTGCACCACGCATTTTAGAACCTATTTTAGTGGGGATTGGTCAAAACCAATGGCATTTTAGAACTTATTTTAGTGGGGCTTGGGATGTTCACTGGGGGTACGGGATTTTGACCCATGGCCATATAGGAAAAGCACACACAAGGGAAACCACGCCGTCAGATGAAGACACTCTTTGGACCCAAACAAAGAACATCGCAGTTGAGAAATAATACATAGACACATATTCAACTAATTTTGAGAATCACGCACGAATTATGGAAGCACAAAAAAAACAAGTTGTCAGATCAAAAGGTCGATTGGCCAAGGGAAAGGCCAGCAAAAGGCCTCACCTGCAAAAGGGCCGGCCTGGTTGCATGCTCCGCCAGTTAACATGGAACCCAAAAGCTTTCTGTATGCAGGATCATACACCGCCTTTGGTACACCCGCGTAGGCCCAACACAGAAAGCAGAAACACCAGGACTATCTCAAAGTAGACTTCAACCCAGAGGTGGATTGTTCCCAAAGAGGACCCTGGGCTTAGGTCTTTGGGGCTAAAAAGACGCTCACAAAGCCGAACCCTTCCTCCATTTGCGGAACCCCTCTGGACAAATCCGCCGACCCCTTTGCAAAAGCCAAGTTAGTCTCTGCACAGGGGCGAGGCGTGTTCTAAGTGGTGGTTAGGGGGAGTCTGAGGGGGGGAGGGGGGGTCCCGCGGCGGTTTTTTGACACGCCTAACCTCTAACTCTAACCTCTAACTCTAACCTCTAACCCTAACCTCTAACCCTAACCTCTAACCCTAACCTCTAACCCTAACCTCTAACCTCTAACCCTAACCTCTAACCCTAACCTCTAACCCTAACCTCTAACCCTAACCTCTAACCCTAACCTCTAACCTAACCTCTAACCCTAACCTCTAACCCTAACCTCTAACCCTAACCTCTAACCCTAACCTCTAACCCTAACCTCTAACCCTAACCTCTAACCCTAACCTCTAACCCTAACCTCTAACCCTAACCTCTAACCTAACCTCTAACCCTAACCTCTAACCCTAACCTCTAACCCTAACCTCTAACCCTAACCCTAACCTTAACCCTAACCTCTAACCCTAACCTCTAACCCTAACCTCTAACCCTGATGATGACGAAGTCGATAATGATGATGATTGATAATGATGATTATGATGATGATGATGATGATGGATGATGATGATGATGATGATGCTGATCATGATGATCATGATGATGATGCCCATAATGATGATGATGATGATGAAGATGATGATGATGATGATGATGATGATGATGGTGATGGATGATGATGATGATGATGATGACCGATGATGATGATGATGATGATGATGATGATGCATTCTGATGCTGATGATGATGATTATGATAATGATGCCGATGATGATGATGATGATGATCATGATGATGATGATTGATGATGATGATGATTATGATGATGATGATGATGATGATGATAATGATGATGTCGATGATGATGATGGATGATGATGATGATGATGATGATGATGATGATGATGATGATGATGATGATAAGGATGATGATGATGATGATGATGATGATGATAATGATGATTGTGATGATGACGATGTTGAGGATGATGATGATGATGCTGATGATTATGATGATGGTGACGATGATGATGATGATGATGATGATGGTGATGGATGATGATGATGATGATGA